TATAAATAGTATATTAATTATACATATATATAGATATATATATATATATATAAATGTATATATGTATATATGTATATATATATATATTGGCATATATCTTTACCTATATATCTATATAAATTTATATATATATAGTTTATACACACATAAATATATATACATTGTATACATATCTTATACGTATATATGTATATATATATATTATGTATACATACTATAGATGTACATGTATATATGTGTATATATGTGTGTATATATATATATATATTAAATATGCGTATAAATATGGGTGTGTGTTTGTGCGTGCGAGTGTGTGTGCGCGTATGTATATATCTATATTTGTGTTTGCGTGCGTGCGTATGTCTCGTATCCAATCTGTCACGGAAAATCCAGCAACTCGTTTGCCTAAGTACATCCTCGGCCAAGATACTTACCTGTGCCGAGTTGTAACTGAGGACGGCGGTGAAGAATGAAACCACGATGAGCCAGTATGACCAGTCCAACGAGCAGTCACCTGGATTGTAGTAATGTGCCGACTCACCACAGAGATAACCGCTGCTGGCGCTAACCTCTACATCCCACCACCCCACCCGGTTTGTTTTTAGGTCGAAGAAACTCATAGGGAATAGAAGGATAGCCGCCATCAGCGCGCAGATTGTGAGCCACACGTACAGCACACTGACGCCGTACACACGCGACCTGTCCTTCGTGCACAGTGCATAGAGGCATGCGAGCATGATCAAGCCCAGGAAGATCACACACCCGAATATCAGTAATAGGGTGTAGGCCCAAAGCTGGTTCGGGAAATGCCACATCAGATCCGACCCCCACAACATCGTTTCGGATTTGTAGGGTACAACAGTGTGGAAGTCAAATTCGAAAAACAGGAGTCCATAGTACATATCCACGGAGCCACCCTCCACCGAGGTGGTGATGTCGGCTTTCATTTGTACGAAGGTCTGGTTTAGGAAGCTTTTCTTCTGGTATCTAGCCTTGTATGTGGTGTCCGGTGGGGTCGATATACCTACATACACTCTATCTGTAAGGTAATGATGGATTAACTAATATGAGGTCCTGTAGATTGCACACATACAATATGCATACAACTGTCACAATATACGTTCATATCCGTGATCTGAGCAACGGATATTGCACAGTCAATGCCAACCGGAGGAAAGTTATCGCGACAACATATTTATACATGGTCTACAACATACCGTAATCATCAGTGTATGTGAGATTCAAGTACGACAGGAAGTCGTGCATGACGTTCGTCAACTTATTTCCAATCGACCCATCCTCATTGACCGTGTAGTTAGTCGTAATAGTAGTGACAACACTGTTGTTGACATAGTAGGCATTGATACGATGGTTTGGCAAGAAGATCTTGCCCTCGAGCTCGCGTAAAGCATCCAATCGGTATAGTGTTGTCACTGTTACGACCTCGGTTCGAACATAGTTGTATATATCCATTACGTTGGCATCTTCAATCGTCTCGTTGCTGCTCTTCAGAACGAAACTGTGTATATCCGTCGCGTTCGCATCTTCCAATGTCTCGCTGCTACTCTTGATAACACTGTCTTGTAATGTATAGAACTGTGTACAAGTAGAAGTAGATAGCCTAAAGATTAGTTCTAATGCATACGATAGTGCCGAGTATAAATGCTGACAAAACTCTCTTATTTTAGGAAAGCACTAATCAAACACACCCAACCAAGCTCAATTATGCAACGCCTGCCCTAGTTCTATGCAATTCCCAATGCTACTAAATCAGTAAATTTAGTCTGGCGGTCGGTTATTTTGCTTCTGGGGCGTATGCGCGAGAAAGTTATTATCACAACAAGCAATGTGTTCTTCTATAGGGCTGGTCACTTACGGTTTCGTTATAGTCTGACCTGAAGATGTCTTCCCACTTCATGAAGGTTTCATTCAGAGTAACGGTGATGTTGAACCGCTGCTCCACTGGAAACGAATTCGTCAGCCACGACGTTGTGAATAGGCCTGTGAAAACACAGGCCACTGTGGTGGCGAAGAGCGTTGCACTCAGAATCTGCATCGATCGCCTAGTAAGATTCCTGACACCAGCCGACAATATGTGCTCGGTGTAGAACAAATAGAAGCCGAAGGATAGGATCTGTTGGAAGAGAGCAATGCCCACAAAAACCATGGACATCACCATTAGACCCTGCAAGCTGTTGTAGCGCACAAAGAGTCCGCACACTGTAAAGTTCAGGCACATGACTAGGAGTAGCACTACCAACCCTATCCTTCTGTGCAGTATCCCTGTCTTAACCGATTTCTTGCCCTTCGCTGATCCGCTTGATGGTCGATTTCCCCATGACAAATCCCACACACGGCAATAGGCATACGCAGAAAACCACGGTATGAATATCGGCCAGAAGGCACAGAATTGAAAGAATGAGAACACCATCATAATAAACACGTCCAGGCTATGGAGCAGAGCCAAGAAGAAGGGCATGAATACGGCTAGAAGTAGAACCAGAATGGCTATGGGATCGGCGTTGGCAAATGCTGCGGTCAAACCGGCAACCACCAGCATATACGATATGCTATTCCAAACCACCACCGCATTATACAAGCTTCTCGAGAATTTCGAGAAAAAATGCGTGAGACAGAATACTATATACAGGAGCGCCCCACAGCTGGTAATTCCCCAGGCGACGAGTTGATTGTACCCGTCACCGCCAATATTCAAGGACTTGACGGCAAAGTATATTAGAGCCGCGAAGACACCAGGTGAGACAGTTCTGACAGCGTACAAAATAGTTTGTAACAGAAGCTGACTATAGATGACGATTTTGAACCACCAAGAGTGTGAGCCTCGGAAAATAACTCCGGGCGAGAAGAACAACAGATACAGGTACGATGCAGACGTTCCATTGATCCACCGTCGACGTTGTGTGAGAAAGCTTTTGCTGTCAGTCTCTGCTTCGGTGTAGAAAACTGCTTTGGGTACCCATCTTGTATATTTCCCAGTCATAAGACAAGCAGCGTAACTAAGGATACGATCCTCAGCGAGTAGTAGATTGCCCATAATTAAGCCATCTTCTGGTTTGATGCTGTTGACGTAGTCGATGTAGTAATCCATCGGCTTACCCCCCACAACACTCATTCGCCACAAACCGGCTGGTCCAGGTATCACAGGAAGCATACCAATCAGCGAAAATGCTCCTAAGAAACTGGAAATGGAGGCTTCATAATCGTATGCTTGCACAGCCCTGTACCACATCTGCATTAACCCCTCCGTCCTTAGAGACTGCATTGATGAAGACATGACACGCTGACGCCCAGTAACAGCGCTAACGTCAGGATGCGTGTTTAAATAGTCGATGAGGTAATATAAACATCCCTGTGATAATGAAGACAAGACAGATACAGTTAGTTAGATACAGAAAAAGGTACTTTATAATTCAGTGCCTGAAGAATAGTTACTACTGAGTCTCACAAAACGTATAACGTTAGATAAAATTAGGTGAATGCCGAGCGTAGACTGTCTAGAAGATGGCTACCACCAAGTCTGACTAAAGAGTCTCACTAAATACGATAAAGCTAGTAAGAAATAGTAATTCTGGTAAGCGTTACGGGTGTATAGTCCGAAGAGATTAATTTCTATCTAGCCAAACAAACAAAAATGCCTAAAATGTTAAGTGCCAAGCGCAAAGTTGTCCGAAGGATATTTGCTACTGGGCCGCAGAAAAAAAATCGAGTTAATTAAAAACAGCAAGGAAGTCCGGTAAGTGTCAAGCGTAGAATGCCTGTAGGAAGCTACTACCAAGATACACAAAAACAACAGCTAAAGTACTAGTGAGATCCACAAAAAAAATAGTTAAAGTAAGGTATTTCCGGTAGGTGCAGGCACAGAATGCCTGGAGAATAGTTGCTACTACTGAGTCAACTGAAGTTGGCTAGATATAGTGGGATATTTTCGACGTGTCAAACGTAGAGTACCTGGAGCATAGCTACTACTGAGTCACTAGGAGAAGGAGGATAATTGTAAAATATACCTGTGCGTAGAGCGTCCCGCAGTCAGTCCCGAACGCATAGTCGATCTCGTATTCCGAACAGAATGCCACAAAAAACCATTCATGTGAGTTCGTTTTCCGCATATTAATTCCTTTCACTAAAGTTGTCAGTCGCATATGCTTTCCGGGAGCTATTTCAACCAGACCGTGATCTCCCAATTCATCTGTCGGCGCGGCTTGGAGTACAGATACGTACGAACGATCTTCACTCCTCAACATTGCATCGGCCCAGTGCGAATCGTTATATATTTCATTTATGTACTGTATTGTGGATTCATCAGCCTCTGATATTCCGTCCAGTATCGCTAAATACACGAACTCAACACCTAAGTCTCTACATTCTATTTCCTGACCATGTAGTGACTCTAGAGTACGTTTCAATTCCTGCCTACCTTCATTGTAGAACGGTATCAACACACCTACAACAGTTTTGGCTTGTCTTTCCCTTGGTTTGAAGTATCCTTTACCTTTCAGTGGCGCCAATACGGGATAGGTTGTCACTAGCTTTGGTTTCCTTTTACAGGGTGGTGAATATGACCCTGTACCTTTGATGTCGTATGTATAGTTTGTGATTATGCTCGTGTCATCGGTTATATCATTATGTATGGAAGGACACGTGTTGGTGGATATTGTGTCAAAATCTCCTGTATTTGTAAACGCCATTGTTGAATACTATGGTTAACTATATCCCGAGTTTTACAACCCATGTACAACTTTATTCTAAATACTTGATCTAACGTTCTGCTGGAGACAACTATATCGTCTTTAATAGTATATGGAAATTGTTATTTTTAAAGCGTCTAAGGCTCTATGAAATAATAAAATATGGCAAGCTTTGCAATTGCCATAGCAAATACTGTACAAAGGATATGTATTCCAAAAACAACCTGAATGTGTATTTTTCTAGAAATTAATTTAGTTCATATTGCAATCTTTTGAGTGCTGAAAAAAATATTTACAAGACTTGGGAGTAAAGATTATACCTGTGGTATTTATTGTTTCATCAGTGGTTAAAACAATAAAATCCGTAAAAATGTGTTTGTTTGTTGATTGTTTTGTTTTTTTGTTTTTTTTTAAATACTGGGTCCGGTGACTCCGGTCAAGTGATTAAGGCTAAATACATACACACCTGCTCTTCATTTTTTGGAAATATAAAGAAAAAAAAGGATACAGTTTTGACTACTCCGGGAGTACTTTCGAATTTATTTAGACTTTATTTGAAACAAAACCCTTTCCAATTTTGAATTTTCTGTTTTGTATTATTGAGTTTGAGGGGGTTTTACGATGTTTCTATTTTTTTTGGCGGTATTTATGCCGGATTTCCACTGTTCCATTGGCATTTTGACCGCTTGGCCTTGCCGTGATGCCGTCGCTTGCACTTTCCTTCATCCTCACTTTTACCAAATATTTATAAATACATCATGTGTATTTGTACGGGATGTGTGCTCAGTTTTAAAAACAAATGAACAGAAGCTGTTACGAACAGTGCGAAGTCTGCGAAACAAATCTTCAATCGTATGAGAGATAGAATCAAAGTCTGCTGCGCTTTGCAGACCGAATATTGATCTATTACGGGCCTAGAGCTTCTAATCGTTACTGTATCAGCCATTCTTCAGTGTCAGCAATATCACAAATTTTATAAATACTCCAGTATGAGATTCCTTGCTGGCTTTTTGGTTTGTATACTGGGAGCACATGCTGTCGAGAGTCGTGCAACATATGTAGCAGGCGTTCTATCCGTGGATGAATTCCTGAACCTGACGATAGGAGAATACATAGCAATGACCGACACTCTATTGATAGCGGATATAAGTCCTGTCTGTTCCGCTGGACTGAATGCGATGAAAGCGACATCCAAGATTCTACCATTGGTATGTGCAGCTGTCGGCTCCGCGCCTATAGAAACTACAACAGAAAACTCTGTAGAGATAACGACGACGGAGGAGGTATCAATAATAGGGGAGATAGTAGAAAGCGAATCGAGCACCCTCACGTCACTGAATACCATTGAAGCAAGTGCAACAGATACAACCGTGAATACAACAATCGTATACAACGGAACAGGTATTGAATCGATAATCAACCGGGCTACATTTGAGGAGCTTTTCTCACTGAGATTCAACGCTGAAGCTTGTCAAAAGGGAGTGGATGTGCTCACTTATGACAACTTTGCCACAGCTATAAATTATTACTATCCGGAAATGGTGGTAAATAATGGGACCCGTGATCAGAAATATCGGAATGTAGCGGCATTCCTTGCTCAGATGTCTCAGGAAACATCCGGGCGTGGCGAAGGTATGTATTCATTTGACAACTCGTCACAATAATCGTGTCATCTTGCATGATCTCATATATGTGCTATTCGCTCATCGATAATTTTTTTACTAATCTACAACTTTCCAACATTGCAGGTGATCCATATTTATGGGGCCTCTGCTTTATCGAAGAGTTAATATGTGATGAGAGCTGTCCACAATATACTGACGAAGGTTCTTGGGAATACCCACCAGTACCGGGGGTGTCATACCATGGGCGAGGGCCTATTCAGATCTCTTGGAATTACAACTACGGGCTTCTGAGTGAAGCGTTGTTCGATCACAAGGAGATTTTATTAAATAAGCCAGAAATGCTCGTAACTGATGGTGTAGTGGCATTCCGGTCTGCACTATGGTTTTGGACGACCCAGCAATGGGCGAAGCCATCGTGCTTTGATATTATGATGGAAACCGCTCCCCCGTGCCAACATGCCGGGCGAGTCCCAGGATTTGGATGGACCACCAATGTGATAAATGGTATGTGTATGCGATATTCGTTCTTTTTCTCTTCGAACAAGCCTTCTGTTCATAGTGTGTTCCCTGGACTCGACTCATACGTAGACTTCATTGCACCAATAGGTGGGCTAGAATGTGGCATAGAAACACCACAGAAGGTGGAAAACAGAGTGCAATACTACCTGTCAATAACAAGTGCACTGGACGTAGATCCTGGTAAATATTTGTACTGTGATGAGATGGCGAATTATAGCACCGACTTTGACTGTCCGGCACCGGAAACTACACAAGATAGCTTGGCGCAGTAAGCACCAGCTGCTATTACATAATAGAGTACATGATGGTCGCACACTCTACAACCTCGGTGGTGCAAACTGCACTGTGTGTCTTGAAGCCCACCGACGCGGCGAATAGAAGATAAACCTCTCAGCAGAAGTCACGATTTGTAATCTGGCCGTCTACATTACATATAGAGAACATTTGGGGGCGGACACAACTACCGATAGTCACCGCCACCACACAATATACGTACCATTGCGTTTGGTATGATCGTATCAATATTGAGATGGTTGCGTAGATATGATTAAATAATATTAAAGATCGATTGTTTGGCGGGAGCAACTATGCATAGGAGTAACTACACCTATGTATACACGCATTTATTTTCGTGTGTGCGCAAGCATTCATGCCTTGAAAGACATCAGTATATGCACGGAAAAAATGACTTTTCTTCTTTCAGATACATATGTGTGTGTGTGTGCGTGCGCGTGTCCGTATATATATATAAGTATATAGGGATACATGTATAAACTCAACACACATGATTGCCACTGCAACTGTCTTCAAGTCGTTCTCGATAAATATGTACTTCTGTATAGATAAGTTTATATATATGTATAAGTCTATCTATGTGTCTATGTATGTATGTGAACATATAGGTACTTATGTATTTATACATATATATTTGTATGCATGTAAATATGTATATATATATTTATATAAATATATCTATAGATATAAATATATATATGTGTGTGTGTATTTATATGTATAAATATATATAAATATATATACATTCACATATATGTACTCATATATGTGTGTCTGTGTCTGCGTATATATGTATATTTATATTTATATATATATAGTAAATATATATATATATATATATATATATGTATATATATATATATATATGTATTTGTGTATGTATATATATATGCATACAATATATATATATATGTGTGTGCGTGTGTTTGTATGTATCTATATATTTATGTATATATATATATATTCATATCAAATAAATATATGTCTGTATCCGTGTCGGTGTCTGTAAAAATATACATATATATATATACGTACGTATGTATGTATATGTCTATTTACATATCTATAGATGTATATATATATATATATACATACATTCATTTATATATATATATATATATATATATATATGTTCTTTTATTTAGATAAGTATACACAATAATATATATAAATATATATATATATATTTGCATTTACGTCTGTAAATGTATATATATATATATATATGTGTGTGTATCTATATATATATATATATATCTATATTATATATATATATATATATATATATATTATATATGTATAGTACTACGTATGTATGTATAGTAAATATATATATAGTTGGTTTCGGGTTAGATGTATGTGTGTATTATATAGTAGGTAGTAGTAGGTATATATAGTAAACCTAACTACCAACACAACTAGTGTAGTTC